ATATATTGTGTAATATATTTATTAAAAAAATATTATTTTTAATCTAAAATTAAAAGTAGATAAACTTAAAAATATAAGCATACATAAAATAATATAAAAATTAATTGAATCATATATATTTATATTGTACTTTAATAATTAAATTAAAATAAGTGTTAAAATTTTTGTTAAGCCAAGCATTTACTAGTCATTTTCTTATAATATATATAAGGGTATAACTGATTTAGGGCATGAAAAACGATACTAGGAAATAGGTTTACATTTTAGATTTCAAACGTAAGATGAAAATTATTTATGTCACAACTTGGTGGAGGGAGGATTTCCACTCATTTTTAAGGATAGCCCATCATGCTTACTTATGATATATGTGGTCTGGAATATTTCATAAAGATGTCACAATTATCTCCCACGTCATGCTCAATTAACACTACCCATACTTGCACTAGGGAAGTAAATTTTTTTTTTTTCTTTTTTTATAGTGTGGTATCCAGACTTTTGATTTAGCTGGTCACCACAAATGGATGCAAACGCCCTGACCAATATTTTTCTTTTCCTACTTGACATGTATTAAAGATAGGACAGGAATCGCACTTGAGCTTTCGGGTTCAGTAGTGTCAAACCATATTTAAGTGCATCTTTTTTTTCCCGGACAACGATTCAAATCAAATCTCTTGTAAAATTGTTCAAAAAAAAAAAAAAAAGACAGGACAGAAATCTTTTTCTAATGCCCCTTTTTTTATCCTTTGAGTTGCTTGCAGCTTTGTTTGAGAGTTGCCTGCAGCTTTGTTTGATGTTATGCCCAAAAGGGGTGTTGGTAGTTGTTGGGCTAATATGATTGAAGGAAATGCAAAAGTAGGCTTTGTTTGATGAAATGCCTGAAAGAGACACCATTGGATATCAAGCCATGATGGGTAGCCATGTTCAAAATGGATGCCATCAAGTAGTGTCCTTAAGTAGTCTTCAGAAATCTTTCACGATTTGCAAAATGAGACTAATATCTCATCTGAAATTAACAATTTTGTTTCAGATAAATTAAACTAATAGGACAGTTTCAAGGATGAGATCTCTCCTCCTGGTAGGCATCCATCCCTAAATTATCATCCGAATAGTAAGTACATCATTAAGGTTGGCATGGTCATTAGGAAAAGAACATGCCATTGATACAATTAGCCAACGTAGTAATAGTCAAAACTCGCCTTAAGTCCACTTAAAATTGAGGCAATGCAATTACTCCCAGTCAAATTTAGGAACTCCCAATCAATCCACTCAGTTCTTGCATCACATTTTCCATGGACGGCCTGTGGTTAGGGGATTCGTGGGTGCAAAGCAAAGCGATTTCCCCAAGTTTTGCTGCCTCAGAATCTGAGAACTTTCCTTCTAGATTTGTGTCGATAAAATCTTCATATCTGCTAGCTTCAGCTGCTTGGCGGGTGAACTGAGTGACTTCACGTTTTCCGCTTAGGATTTGAAGGACAATCATTCCGAATGCATACACATCACTCTTTTCATTGAAACGACCTGTAGTTGTGTACTCAGGAGCGAGGTATCCCATGGCAGCACTAGCTTTCAGAGTGGAGAACACAATATCATCCGCAAGGAGTTTGTGCAGGCCTGAATTGGAGAGCAAAGGATTATACTTTCTGTCAATAAGCACATTCTCTGCGGATATATTCTGATGAACAAGAGCAGGCTTGTTTCCCTTGCTTCCATGTAAATACCCAATACCTGGTATTTGGTAAGGAATATCACATTTCAGTACAACAAAGTGGAAGAAAGCAAATGAACTCATCAAGATTAGAGTAACCTAAATGAACGAGATAAACTGACCTCTGGCAATGCCGTTAATGATAGAGATTCGGGTGGACCATTCTAGAACAATGCCGCTACCCTGCTGTACATCCAGATACTGAAACAGGTTTCCATTCGGCACAAAATCATAGATGAGAAGACACTCGCCTCGACCTTTGGAACAGCAAAATCCTCTTAACCTCACAAGATTTTCATGTTTCAATGAGGTCAGAATTTTTAACCCGTCCAAAAACTCAGCTTCATCAGATTTGCAGCTTGTCTTGGCAATGCATTTTATAACAACAACAGAACCATCTCTAAGGAAACCCTTATAGATGGCTGAGAAATTACCCTTCCCCAACAAATTCACCTCTGAAAAGCACTGTGTTGCTCGCTCAACTTCTTCTAAGTTGAACATGAAGCTCTCAAGAACTTCCTGAGAAAACCCATTTCCATTTCGACCTTTGTCTAGAGGATCCCACCCATTTGAATACTCTAAGCTGATTAAGGGAGAGGCACTTCTTCTGTAAACTTCCTTGACCTGGTCAGTGCTAAGCCGTCCATCTGAAACATCAAAAGCACTTCCAATTTTCTGTTTTCTGCGACGATACCATACAAATGTGAAAAGTCCAATGACAGAAAAGGCAACAACAACTCCAATGATGCCAAATATCACACCTATCTGTGACTTATTGGATGGGCTAGAACAGGGGGTTTTGCTGCAACTAGGATGTAAATTTGCAGACTCTGGAATATCCTTTTTGTACAAACCATTTGGCTTGAATGGTTCAGGTCTGTCCGTAAACACTTTACTCGAATCTGCACAGTCTCTCAGATTGGAAAACCCAGAGCCACATAAGCCCAGATTGTTTTCATATTGGAACCCAGCATTCAGTCTCTTCAAAGCTGCATTTCCACACACAAGGTAATTAAAAAGACAAGTTAGAATCTCTTTCATCTAGCTTTATGCTCATTCAAGATTCAAGACCAACCAGCTAGTGCAGGACACAATTACCATGTAGGGTAGAAAACTAGAAATTAGTATTAAATTAGTATTACCTGGAGGTACATTGCCAGAGAGAGTATTGTTGCGGATGTCTAGCACTTTTAGGATTGGAGCATTAGCTAATTTTTCTGGAACTGAACCAAAAAGGGTGTTGAAGCTCAAATCCAACCTGGTTAACATCTCCAAATCCCCCAAACTTGCCGGGATTGCACCAGTTAGTCGATTATATTGCAAAGCGAGGACACCAAGTTTCTTCAGAGATCCTAGCTGTGTAGGTATGCTACCAGACAACTTATTGTAACACAATTGCAAAACTGTAAACCAAAATCCCAGTAAAGCCAAGTTATAAATAAATTTGATATTGTCCAAAACAGGACAGAATATTCAATCCAAACTTCTAACTTGAATTTTTCAATTTCATAATTTCATTCCATTGCATACTACTATAAGCATCTTGGTAAAACTAAATAATTCTCAATAAATGTACATGCCTAGGGCAATAGAATCATAACCCATTAAAAAAGATGGAATAGTTTTAGATCAATAAATGCTAAAACTGAATCTGACAATAACAACCCAATAACAACTATACTCAAATCCAATATATATGCTGGACTCATGAATTCAAAATTTTTTTTTAAAGAAAATTCATTTTTTTAAAAAATAAATGTACAAATGCTAGGATAGAAAACAGAGGAAAGAAAGGAGGAACTAACCTTGAAGATTAGCCATGTTACCAATCTGAGGAGGAATTTTCCCAGTCAAATTATTCACATTGAGGTACAAATCACTGAGCTGACTCAGATTCGCAATCTCCTTGGGTATCTCCCCATTCAACGCATTGAAATGCAGGTACAACCCGGTCAAGCTCTTGAGACCGCCGAGGGCTGCCGGAATCCTTCCCGAGAGACCCTTCCCCTGAAGTGTAATGTTAGCCACGCGACCTTCCTCGTTGCAGGCTACACCCTCAAAGGACCGGGTGCTACATGGGTCTGACCCGGGTGTCCACGAGGTCAAGTAACGGTTTTCTGGGTCCAACGAAGCCTTGACTTGGAGAAGAAGCTCAAGCTCCGTGGGTGAAGGAAGAGACATACGGATGGAAATGAAGAAACAGAGGAAGCAAAGCAAGAGCAGGCGCATGTTTGGTTGCCGGGAAACCGAAGGAAAACGGAGGGAGAACGAGAAAACGCCCGACACTGAGTTGGGATTATGAATCTTACCTAACCAAGTAAAGAGTGTGGGGAGAAGGAATGGAAATAACTGGTCACAATCAGAAAGGACAGGAAAAGTCTCAATCTTTGTCTCCTTTTTTTCTCCATTTTCTTACATCTCTGTTGTATATGTTTGTGCTGTAGCGGGTGTGGAATGTGATTTGTGGTTTTAGTTAGCTATGGATTTGAAGAGGCGGGGTCCACTCACTTTTTCACTTCGCCATTTTGAAAAATGATGGTCCTTGTTCTTCTGCCTGCCGTTTGATGGTAAATTAAACCCCACGTAGCTCCAGTTGGAAATCAGAGCCGTCTGTATTGGACAGTACCAATTGATTGCTCAATTGATGAACAGTACTACAGCATCCTGATTACGGTTGAAGGACCGAGGAGGACGTCAATTTTTATATCGTAGTAAAATACTACTAATATTATTTATCGTAAAATTATGATATAGTTTAAATTATATTAAAAGATTTATTTATCTTTTATTTTAAAGGTATAAGATAATAAATAAATTATTAATAAATAATTATTATTTTTATTTTAAAATAATGAAATTGATTTTTATTTTAATTATAAATATCATGTGTTTAATTTTTTATTAGTTTATTTTAAATTATAAATTAAAAATTAATTTTTAATTTAAATTTTTACTTTTTAAAAAAAATATATCATAATTATTATTTAATCATTACTTTTTATCGTGTCCTAAAAACACAAGATAAACAAACCATACATTAAATTATACAATAATAATTAATTTTATTTATGACTTATACTTTTTTTTTTTTGAACAAGTTGATAAGGGTGGGTTTCGAACCCACCATAGGGGAGGGGGGAAATGCACCTGCAAAGCAACCCGAAGGCAATTTGGCCCGAAAGGCCTATTTATGACTTATACATTTATTTTACAATTTATAGAAAATTTTATAGTTTATAATTCAAATGGTAAGAAAGAGGAGAATATCTCTTAATTTTATATAACTTATTATTATTTAATAATTTAAGTTATGTAATTTAATATACTTTAAATTATAAATATATTTTTTATTCATATAATTGTAAAAGTGATGAAAATTCATCAAGGAAAAAAAAAATGTGTGTGAATTAATTTCTCAATTTAAATTATAAAAAGAAAAATGATTACTAGTGTAAACAAAGATGGAAAAAAGGAGAAACTTTCGGGTAAAAGGAATTAGCAAAGTTGGGAGATGGAGATGTCAATTTTCAAAAGAACGGAATTCCATGAGGACCATGACTTCTTTTTAAATCTAAATAAAAATAATGCAAAAGTGAGAACGTGAAACACTATATTCCAAAATCCAAGCGTAAAATCGAGTCTTTGGATCGACTTGGAGTTTGTCCAAAAAAAATCTGTCAAATCTGCACTGCATGTCTGCATTCTAGTTGGATTGCTCATTTGCTCTCCCTGGAAAGAGTTCCCTTTTTCCTGCCTTTTACAGAGAACCCATCTGAAAAAGCTTGAGGCCTCCAAGCACAGGCGGT